AACAAAGAGGAAGGGTCCTGAAAATGATGTCTGAGCAATGAAAGACAGTGAATATTTTAAAGATCACTGAATTTAATTTATTCAACCTAAATGCATAAAAGTACAGGTGGGGACATTATTTATGCAGGTATATGCAAATCACTTTATAAAATAGGCAAAGCCCTTCTGCTTTTTATAAGTTGCCAAGGTGGTTCCTGATATTTTAAAAGCTATGCACCTTTAATGTAATTTCCTAAGAGCTGGAATCCCTTGTAGGAATCACAGTCATTGTCAGAGCAAGTTTATTTTTTCCCCCCTCTCCTCCAGGACATTTACAAGGCTCTCATAACCATCACAAAAGACTGGTTTCCACAGAGATGTGACTGGAAAAATCCCCTGGAAATTGCTGAGGAGCAAGTCACAGTGTTCAAAGCGGAGAACATAGGCTTTGAAAACATGAACCCATCTGACCTCCTGAATTCAGTACAGTGAATTCCTGAGCTCTGAAACATGGGGCCCGGCTGTGCATGCCATATTGGTGCTATAAGACTGGCAGTAGGTTGGCTGTGGCATGGTCTATTTCAAACTCCTTCACAGTGCCCAGTGTTGCATGTTCCCAGATGACATTTGGTTGGCAGAAGCTGGGCCTCCAAAGCTGGCAGTCTGGAACGCAGCCCACTGTGTTTTGACAAACACATAATTGACCATCTGATCACCAGCCTACGTTCTACACTCAGGTCACTGGGGGACCTGGGCTTTCAATAGGTCCCTGCTCCTCATCTTGTTCATCTTCTCAAACCTTTCTCTAGAAAGCAATATAGAGAAGACTTAAACACACCCACACAGATCCTCCCATTTGCAAAAAAGAACATGGTATGTGAAACATAAGCTGTTGAAAATTTCCTTTAAATTGTCCTGGCAGCCCAAAGTGAACAAGAGAAAAGCACACTTATGGTGAACTCTAATTCAGAGAGAAGAAATGAATATACTGAATTGTTTCAACACCCGGCTGTGCATAAGTTGCAATTCAGTTCAATGGCTTGGAAATGCTGCTTAGAAAAAGGCAGCAATGGGAAAATGATAGGAAATTGGGACATTGATTGACTTTAGGGAGACATTATTAAGAAATGATTTCATTTTTAGGCGAACAAAAGCAGGACACTGTCAATGTCATTTTCTTTTCTGCTCCCTTTCTTCTTGCCCATGACTGTTGTGGGCAGGAGATACACACCCCTGGGGACCAGTAGGCAACAGCTCAGTGTAGGGGAAGATTCAAATCGAGTTCTCCAGTGAAACTCCCATAAGGATATGTTTTGGTCTGAAATTTGTTGGCCCCACACAACAGCCTTTCTCCTAAAAGGCAAGGATTACGAAGTAGGCCAAAGTATGCTGGAGTTATGCAAATGTCAGTATTCCTGTTTGGGTTTGGATATGAGATGTCCCCTGAAAAGCGCCATGTTCAGCAATGCAGGAACATTCAAGAGGTGAAATGATTATATTATGTGAATAGTAACCTCACCAGTGGATTAATCTATTTGATGGATTAATAATTTGAATGGATTACGTACGGTAACTTCAGGAAGGTTAGATTAAGTAGAATGCTATGGGTATACATTTGAGGATTATATTTTGCCCCCGACTCCTATCTCTCTTTCTTTCTATTTACTGGTTTCCATAAGCTGAGCAGCTTTCCTCTACCATGTCCTTTCACCGTGATGTTCTGCCTTATCTCAGGCTCTAAGCAATGATATAAGCTGACCATGAACTTAACCTCTAAAAACACGAGCCTAAATAAACTTTTCCTTTTATAAGTTGTTCTTGTCAGATATTTTGGTCATAGTGACAAAAAGCTGACTAACCCAACTCCCCAGTAGACTTTCCTCTCCACTTGACCCCATTGCACAGTTCAGGCTATTGTTTTCACCTTGATCTAGTTTCTCTATTCTCAATCAGCCATCTCTATCACTGGAGTGTTCTTTATAAAACACAAAGTTGGTTAAATTATTTAAGATCTCCCTAAGTCTGCAGGAGCAAGTCCAGACTCCTCTGGAGGACCTACAACAGATCTGTGATTTGCCTCCTGCCTACTTTCCATCCCTGTCTTTCATGTTCTTCTTTTAGTCACCATGCTTTAGCCGCACCAAACTGCTCAGCCCTCTGAATATGGCTGCCTGATGTCTCCTGACTTCATAAATGTTATTGCTTTTTTCTTGATTATGAGCCTTTTTTCTTTCCCCACCTTTTTTTTTAATCCACCTTATAAACTGTTCTTAATTTTTTAACTTTAAGAACCAGCTTGGGTGCCTTTTCAAATATAGTTGAGCATTCTTTTCTCATTCTTCTCTATACATCTTGTACCTGTATTCATTCCAGTGCCCACCATGAGGCAATCTTCATTTACTTATTTATATTCCCTATCAGACTGTGAGATTCTTAAGAAAAGGGAGCATTTCATATTTATCTTGGAGTTCTCAGAACTGAGCCTAGTAAATGTTTGTTGACTGAAAACTAAATAAAGAGCTATAAGTAATAATTAATCAAAACTAAGGTAAGCAGAAGTATTAGCTTTTATAAGCATGGTAGGAGACTATTAGCAATCTAATGAAGGCAGAAGATCCCAGCAGTACTGCACTTTCTGATGGTTATCACAGGGGCTAATGATTGGCTGGGGTGAGAGTAAGAGGGAGGGAGGGGCGCTGTGATGGAGGGATGTCTTTTTAACAGAGAATGTCACTAAGACAGTAAATTATCACGTTTTCAACGTGTAGTTTTCAGTACTGAAAGGTATTGTCCTGAGAATATATTTGAGTTCGATTGTAAAGAGGCCTAACTTACAAGAACTGGATCTCCCAAATAGGACAAGTGTGTGCCACCTGCTTCAAGGCACCATGGCTGGTTATGGAAGGATCCTTTTTGTTTCTACTAAAGAGTAATGGAACGGAAAACTCTTGGGGGAAAGTCTGGAAGCTATTCAATTCCTATTGAAATCTGGGTCAAATCCAGATTGGGGCACTGGATTAAACACAGTGCAAAGAGAGAAGGTCAAATAGGCTGGATTCTGCACCTGTCCAGAGGAGGCCATTGAAAAGGCACTTGAAGCTAGATGGAGTGAGGAGATAATGTTCTGATCTGTTCCCAAGGAACTTTTCCTTTCCTTTTGACAGGCCTCTGAGGCACCATTCTTAGGGACATCAGCTGTGTCCGTGGGGTACTTGAGGACAGCAGAACTGTCATAGGCCCTGTCACCCTGCTGATACAAAGGCAGCCTCAGGATTTGGAACAAGCCTAAACAAGCAGAAAACCTGGCTTAGGGGTGGGACAAGGTCATGGGCACATGAGTGGACTATTAGCTCACTATGAGTCTTTTCCCTCACCTTATCTTTGGTTAAAAAATAGGATCTCTTTAGAAGCTGCTTGATTGATGGTTGATGTAGCATAGAGTCAGTTTCATATTTTCCTATGAGCCAGAGACAGCCTTTCAATTACGTTTTTATCTCAAAGGTCTCCCCTTTGATTTCTAATAGGTGACACAGGTTTCCTATACTGCTTATGTCTGAGCCTTCCCCTCAAGCACTGACGTCATAATAGCTGAGCCGTGCAGGCAGGAGTGCATGGTGCTGACTCATCCTGGTGATGTGGGATTAATGCCTTGTCTAACACAGAGCTATTATGTGAACTGTTTTTACACAAAAGAACTGTAACAAAAATGGTTTGCCAGTCAGAAGACTAGAAATATGCAGTGCTAGGTAACTGAGGGGAAGGATGTGAAGACATAAAATGGTAACCATGAACAGGCACATCGACATCCTCCAAAGCATCAACAGACATACACTATCAATACTGAGAACAGGGAATAACCAGACTTGTCAGGGGCAGAAAGGACCCACCCCTGTTGTATAAATGCATTACACATAGCACCAGTCTTTGCAGAGTTTAATCAATCTCCTTTCTCTGTCAAATAAATGTCACATTTGACTTTAGCCTTAGCCTTCTTGGAAGGATTTTGTCCCCCTATATATATTTGCCACTAGCTTCTAGGAATGTTAGTGAAAGGCACACACAAGCAAAAGAGCCCTGGAAACCGCCTTTCTGTGCAGATGATTACAACACAATAAATAACTTAGGTCAGTGAAGTAAGATATAATGTTGTAAATAAGGGACATTGTGCACCAGAGAGTGAGAAGCAGTCAGAAGGATCATGATTATTTATCACAATAGGTGACTGTCACTCCCTGCCAGATTTCTTGGGTGGTGTCTCTTGTAGTGACTTGATTATTTGGTTTCACTGCCCCCAAATCTCTTTCAAGCAGCTCAAAGTAATATTTATCTAAATCCACTCAGTGCAGCCTGGTTTGGTCTTTAATAAATGTTCTCTTTTTTCATTTGAAATCAAGCTGCCTCTGCCCCACCAACTTCCCATCTTTTCTAAAAAAGAATGCCACCTTCTATAAATCTCATGGAATGTGTGAATCCTAGATTTCTTTCCCCCCCCAGACTTAAATTTTGCAAAAAAAAAAAAAAAAAAAAAAAATTAGCCTATTTACTTATCAGTCTTGTATTTCTTAGTGAAAGGATATTATAAATTTAGTCAATAAATGAAAGCTGTGATCTAGAAGTTAAAATTAAAAACTGTTGGCTCTACGGAAGGGTGAATAACTAAAGAATAAAAAATTGCCATTGATTGACAGCAGAGCAAAAACCCAACTGTTGCTGAAGGCTGGTTGAAGAACATAAGCTATAGTTTAGAAGAGCAGACAGTTTTGCAAATAGCAGCTGTGGTCAAGTAAAGGGCAGTCTTTACATAAGTATGGTGGCTGGGGCTATGATCTTTTCAACTTTCTCATGAATGGCCACTTACCACTACGGCTAACAGCATCACCTCCAAACAGGAAAGAAGCTAATGCCTACTAAAGAAGCACTAGAAACCATAACAAAGACATCTAGAAAATATGCCAACAAAGTCCAAAATATTCAAAACTTACCGCTTTTTTTTTTAAGGTAAAAAAACCACTTTTACTTACCTAAGGAGAAGGGGCAGGCAACAGACTGATGGTCAAGGAACTGAAAATTAAAGAAAAAACATGGAATTAAATGCAAATTCAATGATATAAAGAAATCTAAGACGGAATTGTTTTGTCCCAAAGAAAGCCATTTTGTCCCCTATATCCTCAAATGAAGGAGACCCAGCCTCACAGAAATTTTCCAACGGCATGACTACTTTCTATGATGACCAACACAGTACTTCTCAGCACAAGGGATGGCAAGATCTTTCTTTGTCAATTTCATCTTGATCTGTATCATATAGAATTTTCTGGAGCTGCACTATTTTTCAATACAATAGCCATAGCCTTGTCTATTTTGATATAAATTATTTAAAATTTAACAAAAATTTAAACTTTTGGTTATTCAGTTTTACTAGCCACATTCCAAGTACTTAATAGCCACATGGTGGTGAGTGTCTTCCTTACTGAATTGCACAGGCATAGAACATGCCATCATTATAGAATATTCTGTTGGGCAGCACTGATAAGAACAGTTTTATTACACAGTGTGTCACAAATTTTAGCTAATTCTGGCAAAGATAAGTTAAATCTGAGGACTTTTGGCTCTTGAAGTATAAATTTAATGTGCTTACTGCCTGAATTACCCTTTAGACAAATTTCATATTTCTATGCATTGTTGAACTTCAGTAACACGGAGAAGCCAACCAAATCAGGCTCAATGCCTCGACTTCCCTTTCTAATACTGTCTCCTCTACTCTGCTGCACCAGTTTAAGAATGTCTCTTTAAAGCATCTCCTCCCACCCCCAACATATCTCTAATGATGAAAAAGTTAAGTTTGGGGGAGAGTTGATCTCAAGTTCCATATTCTGTGTTTGCAATGTAATGATTCTCCTTTACAATTTTTCAAGCACATGCCAAATAAACTATTAGAGGACTGGTTTGTCTTCCATTATTTTGATACCTGCTGTTAAAGAAGGATAAAACTAAATTAAGAGAATATCCACAGAAATTAATAAACCAAACAAGGATGCTGAGAAAACAAAGGCAAACCTCCCTCACAGGCCCAACTAGAACATATCAAGGACTTAATATATGCTGAATAAATTCTTGTTTCTGACAGGACGATTTTAACCACTTCACAGAAGTCCTCCAGAAATATGCAAACAAACTTCACTAAAGGAGATCTAGTAGAAGGTCCTGATTGAATATCTTTATACTAGGACTAAAGGAGAACACCCACAATTATTCAGAACTCACATTCCAGACAGTTTTCTGGACAAATGCATAACTGCAGATATTTTCCCAAACAAATGGTTCCCAATATGTGGCAGATGGGAAACCTATCCATGTATATGTAGATGTAAAAGGTGGTGGTCCCCTCCTGGGACATGAAGAGTTAAGAAAATCTACAGCCTTGATCATAATGCATGCTAATGCAAGAGAGGTTGGGGGTCTCCCATGCTTTCAAATTGTTCCACAAAATTGATGAGTTTAATGAAAAATTTAAGCAAGATAATTAGATTATGTATGATTTATTGAAAGTATGCACAAATTTGAAATACAAAATAATAACTGACTAGTCTTCAAAGGTCTTAAAGTTCTAAGTTTTGCTACATTCTTTTCTTCCATACAGGCCAAATTCTAGACTATTGCCCTGGTGTATCTTTTTTACCTTTTCCTCTCCCTCCCTCTTTTTCTTCTTTCCTTTCTTTCTTTCTGCTGTGCCCTCCAATTCCCTCCACACACCAACACATACTCTTTGAGCTTTATTTCTTTCTCAACCTCTGGGGAAAATGGGAAAAAAAATTAGTGATTTTCTATAAAATGTGTCCAATTACACTTTTCTATTGCATGTTATAACCCCAATTATTCCTCAATAGTACATAGTGTTCTTCTTACACTATACCTAGTGCTTCTGTTCTTATATCTATGGAGGTAACTTTCCTACTTAAATTTAAAGGAGCATTTATTCACAAAATTAGTCAAAACTAAATTTTTGATGTGACCAAAAGAGATCAATGGAAATTTTACCCAGATTGACTAATACATCCGTGGTCTGGAACAAAAAACTATCTTTCTTGATGTCAAATGACACATAGGCTGTCAAAGACAGGAATTGATGACAGAGAGAAAAATCACAGTGTATGTTACCATCTAAGATAAATTAAAGCCAAGTGAAATTGAAGATTTAACTGAATATAATTACTGTCCTTAGATATTAATGCTAAATAATAATACTGATCCTAAGTTTAATACTAAGGCTAAAAATTTAATCTTATAGTTCTTATATAATTCATAAATGCTTATAAATGTCAAAAGACCCTTGCATCTTGATTGAATTACAAACTGCTATGCAATTTTGAGAACATGTATTAATCTACATAGATTTATTTTTGTTCAATTCAAAATGCTATGTTATTGATACATGTCCCTTCTACCTCAGTGATATTCACCTTATATGTTTGTGCATCATTTTTGTCTAAAATGAAAAGAATTATCTATAATCATTTTGCATAAGAATTAAAGCATTTGCATTAAGCAAATTCCAGGTCCAATGTACAAATATGTAGCAAAGAACATAAAACTATAAAGCTCTCCAATTCAGGATACTGAAACAGTGAGTCGGGGTATGAATATAAAGAGAGGCAAGAGGGGTGACATGTACTGAAATCTATTCTTAGTTTCATGATTCCTTAGTGGAAATTATTACCAAGTGTCAATCTCCAAGGAATTAGAAGTGTTATCAATTGTAACTTTAAAGATCAGTCAGTTCTAATTTCAATTTACATAATGTTCAAGGGCAGTGGTTTCCAACATTTGGAGGTGACACAGATTCCTAGAAGAAACTCTCTCTCTAGAAAACTCCTCAAAAAATAGCAAGTTTCAAGGAGCTCTGGGACCCCATGAAGGCTCTCAGGTTACTTATCAGTGGCCTTGGCAGAAAGGAGAGAAAACCCTCCTTAAATCCCACTACCTCTAGGAATTTTAACAACACACGAAAAGCTGAAGCTAGGAGCAAAGAAAACCTATAAAAAATGGATTTCTAAAGGGTGTTTGGCTAGAGATAAGTGGATTCTTTAAAATCTTCCAGACTTGTATCTTCCTAGTCCTTTATAATTTATTTTTAAAAATGTCCATAGAGCCTTACTCACACTGGGGTAAAAGAATACAGAACAGAAAAATGATAATGCTAAGAAGAGTTACTATTTTAAGGGTATCTTTTATGGTTTGAAGCATCTTGGTGAGTAAAATCTCCATTTTGGATATGGGCATAACTGGGGTAGTGGAGAGCATAAAACAGTTTACACAAAGACACAAAATACTAAGACAGCTGTCTTCCTGGAGGGCTGGTTTTCCTTGTGGGTAACTAATTTAAATTTTATTTGTACATGCATTCATGTATCTACTAACTATTTCTTGGATGCTATAGAAGATATATAACAGAAGTTGTTCTTGTCCACATGGAACTTCCAATTTAGTGAGACAAATGAAAATATGCTAGAGATTGGAAAGCAAAATATGGATGCAGTTTTAGGGTGACACCTGAGATGCCACTGAAATGATTGTGGCAGAGAGTTTCCTGTAATGTCCCAGCAGGGACACCAAGTATTGTATCATTCTAGCTTGAGGATCACATAAGTAGGAGAGTTGGAGAAGCACTAGTAACAGTGCTCATTTCATCCTTACTATAAAAGAAAAAACACTATGACTTCCTATTTATATGAGAGAGAGAGAGAGAGAGAGAGAGAGAGAGAGAGAGA